TGCCCTGCACATTGGACAACGAGTCAACTTGGGACGACAATTGGTGCAAATCTGATGCTCGTTATCACGCTGTAGTATAGGAGTCTGGATAAAATTGCAGCACACTGGGCACTGGAATATCCTTGTAAAATCTGCCGGAACCGTGGTCATTTCCATCCCTCCACTTGCGAACAGAGAAATAGAAATAAATATCGTCAGATTATTCTGGAGGCGCATGAAAAGCTGGAAGCTAGAGATAAACTCAACTATAGGAACGTCTCATGTCTGTGATGGATTGTAGGACCAGTCGACTGGAGAGGAATCACTCCGCCTACCTCTACTAGTGAGCATTCCTGGCTGAAGTGCGATATTTTGTTAACTGTAATTACCAGTTCTCGAAATTGGATTGTATCTACGAAAATCTCAGAAAAGTTTATTACCCATGATTCCAAGAAAATATGCCTATTATTTTACCACGTCTGTTTCTTCCGGTCATTCTGTTTCTGTCACATTGTGCACAGGCTCCTCCTTGGGAAGCTGACAAGAAACGTTCCCACATTTATGGAAGCCGAGAATTCATGACTAACCAACACCAGGGGCTAGTTTCACATATGAAGTTCCTTATGAATTTCTTTCACCCAAATATGCTGTATGGGCGATCCTCTTAAATCTCCTTCGTTAAATCGCAACAATAATTCCAGGCTAACCAAACAATTCATAAATATTATCTTTGTTATACAATATGCTATGGCATGGAAATGAATGTGGAGAAAACAAAAATAATGAAAATTTCGAGACAAACAACCCCAGTCACAATAAAGATAGACCAGAAACAACTGGAGAATGTGAAATGTTTTAAATACTTGGGTAGCTTGTTAACAGATGATGGAAGGTGTACTTGTGAAAATTAAATCGAGGATTGCCATGGCAAAAGATGCATTTAGCAAGAAGACGAATCGTTTTCCACCCAACTGGACTTAAATTTAAGAAAGAAACTATTGAAATGCTACATTTGGAGCATTGCTTTGTATGGGGCTGAAACTTGGACACTTAGGGCAGTAGATCAGAAACACCTGGAAAGCTTCGAAATGTGGTGTTGGAGAAGATCAGTTGGACCGATTGTGTGAGAAATGAAGAAGTGTTAATTAGAGTCAGTGAGCAGAGGAATATCCTACACGAAATAAGAAAACAGAAGGCTAATTGGATTGGTCATATCTTACGCAGTAACTATCTTCTAAAAGAAGTTATTAAAGGAAAGATAGAGGGGCGGATAGAAGTGACGAGAAGACGAGGAAGAAGACGTAAGAAGATGCTGGATGACCTTGGGAACAGAAGAGGATATTCTCATTTGAAGGAGAAAGCTCTAGATCGCATTAACTGTTTTGGAAGAGACTGTGGACCTGTCGTCTAACAGATTACTAATGATGATGATATAATATTTGACATACCTATACCGATTACGTCAAGACACTTATATGTATATAATATAAACCACTGAGATGGCTTCAGATGTCGGACGGCATGGTGGAACGCTACATTAAGACCATCGAGGAGCACTCGCGGAAGGTCGTCACATCCCTCCAGATGGACTGGGATGAGGGTTTACCCCTCTTTCTCCTAGCTTACAGGGCATCCACTCACGACACTACGGGTTTGACCCATGCTATCTTAGTGTTCGGACGAGAACTCCGACTGCCCTGCGACCTGCTTTTTGGGGTATCTCCAGACAAGGAATTGCGCCCAACCGATTATGCAGCAGAGGTAGTGGATGACCTACACGACATCCACAACACCTGAAGCTCGGCAGTGACCGGATGAATAGTAGGTACGATAAAACGGCCAACTCCGCAGGTTACCAGGCCTTTGATACTACATGGCACTCGGGCTTGCTATATAAGTTGTCAAAATTAGAATTTTCGGCCAGCTTAATCAAGCTCATTGGATCATTTCTTTCACAACGAAAATTCCGTGTTTCGGTCGAAGGCGAAATATCTAGGCCAGAGAAATGCATGAAGGGGTGCCGCACGGTTCGGTTTTGTCCCCTAATCTTCTCAGTATGTCGGTACATAAATGATGCCACGCAAACACATGGCGTTCAACTAGCCCTTTTGCAGATGTCACCTGTCTGTGTGCTACAGATCGCAAGGAGTGTTTTGTTAGAAAACTCCAGCGCTGTCAGCTCAATGGAGACCGGGTGCGAGCGCTGCAATACCAAAATCAATGAAGATAAGATTCACGGGATCTACTTCTCTCGCAGTCGTCGTCCGCCTGTGTCGCATTTACATTGAATGGAAGATATATTCCATATGTAAATTGTGTAATATATCTCGGATTAATCTTTGAGAGGAGAGTTACATGGAGATTACACATAGAAATGATGGAAGCCAAGGCCTTCAGAACATTTATAAGATTGTATTCGCTATTATGAAGTGAGCGATTAAGTGCTAACATTAATCTGAACCTCCACAAAGCTCTCATTAGATTCGTAATGACTTATGCTAGTCCCGCCTGGGAGTTTGCAGCAGACACTCATCTAGTGAAATTGCCACCCCTGCAAAACAAGGTTCTCCGCAACATTGGCAATTTTCCAATGCGCACACCGGTCCGCGATCTGCACATGGCTTTCAAAATTCCGTACATACGTGATTATATTGTCACATGTTAGGTATATGTCACGCGACAAATAACTTTACACTGTACTGAATGTAGCGAATTTACTGCAATTCTCTCTCACAATGCCACAGTTCACAGTTTCACATTCCGTACACATATATGATTATATAACAAAATTATGCAGGCAACAAGCGGAAGTCATAGAAAATCGTGATAACGAAAATGTTCGCAACAATGGACAAGGCGAAGCCCGACACAGAAAGTATAAGTGGCTTAAACTTGGCGGCGGTCAAGCATACGGCCGTTCAAGTGACTAGACTGCCGTGGTAGCGAATACTACTAGAAATAGGGCATAATCTGCTGTACTAAGCCTAGACTGACGGAGACCTTATATATTGTAACGTGTTTTGCCACAGAAGACGCCGTTCGGATTGTTCGTTGGTTTATTTAACAACCTACGAGTATTGGATACAATTAATTATAACACTGTTACGGGTTTCCACAATTTACAAACCCTACACAATTCTCTTCACTCTGCCCTCAATAGTCTACACGTATTCACAGTACGGGAGCTATACCAGTGTCACTGTGTTACACACTCCCAATTACTTCTCTTGTGAGCCAAGCATTGCTTCTCACGCTATCACTTCTACTCACAAGTACCAGTATTCTTCTTTCCGCTACAACTGAACTCGGCGACTGTTCCAATTCAGCTGCTCCGGCGACGGCTACATTTCAACTCAATTCAACTCAACTCCTAACTCCTGAATAGTGTTCGCTGCTCCTTATTTAGCCTCGGTACGGACAAGACAGAAAACAGTAACGTAATAGGTACCGATGTTGCCTGACGCCGTGTTTGCCGATAGCCTAGCAACGCAGTCGGGAGTTGTTTACTGCTGCATAGCAACCGCGGCATCCCTTGGTCACGTCACCACGGTAGGGGGCGGGGTGTTGACTAGCGTATTACCGTAGCAACGGCAACGCTCCGAACGTGTTACGTCACCGATGGCGTTGTAGGGGGTATCCTGCATAGCCCAAATACGTCACAATATATTGTACATAGAAATAGAAAGTAAGATTAAATTTGTAAATATATGTAAATCCTGACAGTGGACTTAACTAATACGGACTATGATTGACAAATGACAGACCCGACCTCTCGTCAGAGAGGGCGCCCAAAATGGACAGGACAGTAACTTTCATATAAGAAGAAATATCTTGTCACAGACAGACTGACCAACCGTCAGTCGAAATGTGACATTGACGTTGACTAAGCAGTTAGTTGAAAGATAGCAGCAGTCGCGGGATAAAGACCCGAACGCGTGGCTAGAAGATTTTCTGTGATAATCTATGATAGTGCGCGATAAGTGAGAAATCAGCCAGTGAAGGTTTATTGTCTGCTGTAGTACTGTTATATTGGGATTGTGTAATTCACAGAGACTTGTATAGCTCCCGCGTTATAAATACGTGAAGACTACTGCAGATACACTGTGTAGGGTTTGTAAATTGTGTGAACCCGCAACAGTGTTAAAATTATTTGTAGCTACGAAAATTCTAGATTGTTAAATAAACCAATTAACAATCCGAACATTGTCTTCAGTAGCAAAACACGTTACAATATATACAAAAAAATCATGAAGATCGATACAGGCGTTAGAGAAATATTAAGGGGCTCCTCTCAGAACTCTGAGAAGCTGAAATATTGGTATTAATGATGGGTCGATTTATGATGTACGTAGTTGAGATAGCTTCACAAGACATGATAAACTTACGAAGTTTCTTGAAGATTCGTATAGATCTTCAAGAAATATTAACTTTTGGACTCAGAAAGTTCAGAGGCTGTAATGTTGGTATTACTTGTGTGAAGGATTCCTGAATTGCACCGTTGAAACCGACTCAGGTGGCAGGATGTATGTACCAAGTTTCATTAAGATTGATTAGGCCATTAAAATGTTAATATGGGGGATGCACATACACGTACATACGCACATCTAACAATTTCAAAAATCCCGAAAACAAGAATCGGAAATCGCACTGTAACCTACGTAAAACTGTTAAGCAATATAATATATCTAGACCGACACAATGTTATGAAAGCAATGCGTGAGCCGCGATCAAGTATAAAAAAGAACAGACGGAGCAGATTTGTGCTGCTGTAATGCTCGAAACCTGCATGCTGGAGATGTTGGGTTCGAATCTCGACCTGGATATTAGCTGTCCGGACTGAGATATTTCATACTTGTTCTTAGTCCCTATAAGCAAATGCCACGATGGTACCTCGATCAGAGGAAAGACTGCTTCCTTCCTAATCCTTTCCAATTAACTGTTCGTTAGACATTCCATCACTTGACCCTATAGCCTACAGTCTGAAATCCTGATGGCGTCTTAAGTATATGTTATGTTCTCACCTCAGTGTACGCTGTAATGGCTTCTGGAAATTGCGAGTCTGCTTGTTCCTTCAGATCCTCACTGCTTGCTCTCTGTCAACACACTGCTACACCGTAGTTAGTATAGTTCTCGTATAAACCCTCAGCCGGACAACGGGAAACGCCTCGCTTCCTTGTTGCCTAGTCGCCGTGTTTGCCTGTTACGTACTGGTTACCGCTGTTTATTACGGTCGTCTCTAGCAACCACTGTTTACTCGCTTTGCTTAGCAACCGCTGTTTACTCGCTTTGCATAGCGACCAGTTGCTTGGATTCGGCTAACTTCGGCTCCGCTCGGCACGTCACCGCTGGCATGGGGGGGGGTTGACCTTGGTGCAATACATCACAATATATATGTGAATCCCCTAACACTAGTTGCTAGAGAGTGTATAGTAATGCAACACACAGCTCCTTCTGGTCTTCTTCAGTTTTTTTAAGAAATACAACTAATCGCTTACTTTAAGAAGAAAAATAGACAGAATACAGGAACACAGGGACCCCTTAAATGTCTTATCCATGTGCTGCAACACGAAACAGGAGACGTAGGAAGGCCTGGGTGTGAATGTGCAGACAGTTTAGTTCTTGTGTCTCAGATTTAGCTCCAAGCACATAATTAGTGAGGGGGAAGGAAGAGGATTATATGATGTTTGGGGTATTACAGGCCCGTTTATAATGGTTGGGGAAGCGGAAATAGTCATAAGAATATAAAGAACTGATCACACCTAGAATAATCGTGTGTTCCCAAGGAAGAGACAAATAGGGGGCGAACGCCCTGTATGCCTCTGTTGCACTCAACACTGAAAAAGATAGAGAGAGAGAGAGCGAGAGAGAAACATTTCCATTGTCATTACAAGGTATAACTTTTATATATTAATGACATTATAATAATGTTTTCCTAAATGCTGATCATGTTCTTCTGAAGATGGTCATCCCTCCCGAAACATGTCGTGGAAAATGAAACATTGAAATAAAACTTTTATAAATCAATCGCACTGGACGGTGCTTCGAGTCATTTTATACTGTAAAATTATTTGTACTTCCATCCGACTGACTTACACATTCAAATTAAAATTGCCGGAATAGCTCAGTCGGTATAGTGACTACAAGCAATACAATTTTTCTTGAATAACAAACAGTCTCTCATAAGCGAATTCCACAGCCTTAATGAATCCGAGTTTATAAGAGCGCTCCACGGTTCCCTATTGGTCGCTACTCTCACTGTGTAACCTTAGAACTGATTTGATACTGACACCTACGTACAGGTTCTCACAGTCGTCTCTTTCATTCAGAATTCGAAGTTCCAAAATCCTTTATGGACATATCATCGCTTCCGTGAGTTCTACATGACCCACCCATCCCATCCTCTAGTTTATAAACCTGACCATATTTGCTAAAGACTATCTCTCCCTCTATCTATCTATCTATCTATCTATCTATCTATCTGTCTGTCTGTCTGTCTGTCTGTCTGTCTGTCTGTCTATCTATCTATGGTCCTACGTCCTACGTCGAACCTTCGCGGCTTTTTTCATTTTCTTGATCTTTTACACAGTCGGTTGGATTCCTTGGACGGGAGATCAGCCCGTCGCATGGCCTCTCCTGCACACAAATAGTACAAACACATAATAAACGTACACAGACATTCATACCTCCAGTGGGATTCGAAACCACGATCCTAGTGTTTGAGCGGGCAGAGACAGTTCATGCTCTAGACCAGTGCTTCTCAACCGCCGGGCCTCTGCCCAGTAGTGGGCCCTGGCATCAATTATACTGGGCCGCGGGAGGCTCTTCTGGAATTTATCATTTTCATTTTCTAAGCCTCTTTCATGAATAAGTATTTTATAGTGGAAATATTCTGAGGAGAATAATATTTGTGTCGAGAAGCTCAGACACAGAACACCTAAATCTGTGTAGCAAATGTCAGTGACCAAGCCGCATATTTTTAAACATGGAAGTATTCATGAATAATCGGGAATTTTCAGACATCCAAATCTTTCAACATTCGGGAAAGGCAACCGATGTTTATGACCAGTCATAAAAATTGCCTGCAAGCCGATTACAACAATGGGCGGCATATCCTCTGTGTTGCAAATGTCAGTGACCAATTAGCAAGGAAGTATAACGAAAATGTTTCCACTGAAATTGAAGATCAAGGCAGTCTGTATCCGGTTCTCAAATCTAGTAATACTGAATACTGTTTCTTCGCAAGTTCGCATTGCAGTGTGTGCTTGTTTCGAAACCTGAGTGAAGATGTTGTCGTTTGAAAAATGTTATCCCTCACATGAGGATCCCCGAAGGCAAAATATGTTAACCCTTTTGTTGAACACAAAGAGACAGCCCTTTCCCAAGAAGAAACCCTTCAACTTACTGAATTGTCATCGGACAAAGGACTGGAAGTACTTTTAATACTACGAATAATTCGAAATCCTGGATAAGAATGAAAAATGAATATCCAAATTTACATTAAATAGAAGTGAGGTTTCTTCTTTGTTTTTCCGCCACATATCTTTGTGAAACTGCATTTTCTGCCATGACTGTGCTTAAAACGAAACAGAGGAACTGACTACAACTTTCTGAGTGTCTCCGTTTGGCTCTCACTTCAATTCATCCCAGAATTAATAAGCTAACGGACGGAAAACAGAAACAGAAGTCTCACTAGCCTAACTGAAACCTTCCAAACTCAGTTGTGATAAAAGAAACTAAGTTTAACTTTCCAATAACTTATAATTGTTGTGTTAAAGTTCTGCGTCATTAAAATTAAAATGTTAATTAGTGTTGGAAGTAGTGTTTAGAATTGAGAGATTCATACATTTTTATTTATCAAATTACATACTTTACATATACGTGTTTAATTATTTGGCGTGTGTACGTGATAAGTCTTTCGCCGGCAAGTTGACATCCTTGTGCTTCTTCCCCTACTCAGCTGACTTCTACGGTGAGTTACAATGCATAAATATTTTTTTCACTGCCGTTTTTTCAAACCAACATCATTAAAATCAATTTAATAATACAATAATCAATCTTACGCTGAATAACATAAGTTTTTGGTGATCGGCATGGGATATGTCAGTGAAAATTAGCACAAATTAATTTAATGATGTTGATCTGAGGAAACTACAAAATGCTACAGGATATCATTAGTCCTGTGATTGATAACTAATTTAAATGTAATTTTATGTTTGTCAACATGCCACACCGTGTACATAACTGTACTAATACTCTTTATGATTTATAATTAATTACTATTATTACGTTAGTTTAATGCATGAACTTTAACAAAACTGGAAAGGTATTTACGAGTAAATTTGTTAGGACTGGGCCCTCGTCTAATAAAAAAAGAACTTACTGGGCCGCGGTCTCATAAAGGTTGAGGAGCACTGCTCTAGACAGCGAGGCCAGTATAATCAGCGTTTGCTGAAAACTACGGATAATAAAACTCTTCAATATCTTCAATACAGAAATATTAAAGTAATCTGCAGTATGGCTTCATTAAAAAGGAATTCATGTCCATAACTGAAAGGCATTAGCTCATTATCTTGCTGTCTTTAATGAAATGTGTCACTGGTACGAACCAGGAGCGCTCCTGGTATTTATAATTTTCGTTGTATATAGCCACATTCTTGTTCTTCTTCTCCTTCTGTACTGGCTTTCTAACCCTGCGTCTGTCTTGGCCTCTTCCATAGTTTTGGTGTTGTCGTTAGCCCCACGCCCAACCCTCAACCTGGAGAATCAGAGGCTACACTTCTGGCTGTACATAGCTCTCCGCGTCGCTAGGGCGCGCAGATCTCCTCTCCAAGGCAAGGCAGTCGTTCTCGAGATGAATTTAACAACATTTCGATAGTACAGCTGATCACACTTGCCGCGCAGTCTAAGGAATGTAGACTTTGGCCACTGATATACTGGGTTCGACTTCCAGTCCGGACATGGGTTTATGCCTATTCGTTTTCTGTGTTTCTGTTCTGCGTAGGTGAGAGTTCTTGCATTGGAGCAGTCTCTTGTACATGCAGTCCTACCAACTCTCTAATGGTTTTTTTTTAGTTCACGTAGTGGGAGGTGTAGTCGAACTGGGTCCACTCAGCACGGCTGCCACTGATTGGCCTATTGTACCTGCCCCGGATGATTATCATGAGAATGAAGATTGACAGGGTAAACCGAAGTACTCGGAATAAACCTACCCCAGCGCCACTTTGTCCACCACAAATCCCACTTGACCACACTTAGTTTAGAACCCGGGCCGCCGCGGTGGGATAGCAGCGATTAACCGCTTGAGCTATGGCCCGACCTTCTAACAGTTCATTATTTCAGAACTTATGTCTCAACTGAACAAGTCCAGGAACTAATGTGTAAAACCTGAAGAAGACAGTAGTAATGATGCTGTAATAGTAAGGCTTTAACCCATACGTGTATTTATCAAAACATCTAATTAGAATCTCGCCCAGTTGTTACAACATGCCCTCTTATACTACAAACTCTTTTGCTCTACGTTCTTTATTATTGAAAGTTATCGACGTTTCGGACTTACTCATCTCCTTCATAGTTATCTACAGTAGAGATAAAATTGTCTGAAGCGTCATGTAGTTATTCCTTAAACCTATCTGGAACTGTTCATTGGGTTTCTTTCAACATAGGTTGAGTTTCACATGTGTTTGCTTGAT